TTCTCATGGAAGGTAACATCCCGAGATACAATATAGCGGTTATGATTGGGAGAGAAGCACCTGTAACCCTTTTGGAGACGAGAGTACCCAAGGAACACGCATTTCAGAGATTTGGGATCAAGCTTGGTGATAGTGGGGCGTGTGTCACGAACAAAGCATGTAACACCGAAGATCTTTGGCTCAATAGGAATAATCGTTGTCCTGGGAACAAAACATAGAATGGAGTTTCTCCATTCAGGACAACAGACGACATTCTATTGATAAGAAAATAGGCTATTGATACCGCATCGGCCCAAAAAGACTTGGGGACGGACATCTGAAACACAAGTGCTCGGGCAACCTCAAGGAGGTGACGATTTTTTTCGTTCGGCTACCCCATTTTGTGCTGGAGTATCAACACATGAGCACTCATGAAGGATACCATTTTGCAACATATAGGATTGAATTTGTTGGGATACATACTCTTTTGCATCGTCACTTTGTAAGGTTTTAATAGATGTTTGAAACTGAGTTTGGATTTCAGAATGAAAGGAACGTAAATGATTAAACACTTTTGAACGGTTTTTCATGAAGTATAACCAAGTAGTTCGAGAATAATCATCTACAAACGTAACAAAATACTTAAACCAGACTTAGACGTTATAGGACATGGGCCCCAGACATCAGAATGTACTAATTGAAATGGGGACGCAGCCCGCTTATTGACTCTAGGACTTAAGTGAACACGTTGATGTTTGGCAAACTGACATGACTCACATTGTAAATACCGCAAATGGGAAAATTCAGGACACAACTTCTTGAGACTCTGTAAGGAAGGATGACCTAGTCGACAATGAACTTCAAAAGGAGATGATGAACTGGAACTTGCCAAGGAATATGGTTTGGGTGGTTCAAATATGTATAGGCCATCCGTCTCCTGTCCTCTACCAATAATCCTCTTCGTCTCCAAATCCTGAAAGACAATGATCAGGAAAGAATGAGACATTACAATTCAAAGTGCGAGTAATTTTGCTCACAGACAGTACGTTAAAAGAAAATTTTGGTAGGCTCAGGACTGAGGATAACGAGACAGATGGGGACAATTTAACAGTGCCAGACCCAATTATTTGGGAGACAGATCCATCAGCTACTGTGACTTGAGCTGAGGATGCATGTTTATTGAAATTTAGGAGAAGGTGGGAATTACCAGTCATATGGTCTGAGGCACCCGAATCAATGACCCATTTGGAGGAGGATGATACAAAGCATTTGCCAAAGTTACCTGTCTCAGCAAACATAGCAGTGGAAGCAGCGGGGTGCTCATTTACCAGATGAGGTTCCTCTTTGTGTCTCATAATTGTGTCATCTGATGTAGTTGCAGCCTGTGCTAAGGAGAGTCTCTGATTTCTAACGTGCCGTTTCTTGCAATTAAACTTAGTATGACCAAGTTCATGACAGTAGTGGCACTTTACGTCTGAGTTAAAATCAGTTGGCCGATCATTGTGGCCTCCTCTAGTGCTACCCTTTCCATGATAGCCACCTCGAAAACCGCCACGGTATCCACCTCGGCTAAGTAAAGCCGAATTATGATCAGATGGTGGAGTAGGTTGAAAATCTTCATGCCGAAGAACCCGAGCAAGAGTCTCTTGAAGAGAAGGTATCACAGATTCATTTAAGAACTGAGATCTGATGGAATCATATTCTGGGCGTAAGCCAGTCAGGAAGCTTATGACAGCAGTCTGTTCCCTTTGAGTCTGCATAGTTTTCACATCAGTACTCAATGGGAGAAGAGAGTTCATTTCCTCATATCTTCTTGAATTCCATGGCATAGGCGGTAAGTGATCGGTCCTGTTGTTCCCCACGATGGAATGACTTACATACGCTGTAAATCCTTGAAATATTACTTTGTCCGGAGTACAGGAAGTCAAGATATTCTATTAGCTCTTTCACATATTCACAGTGACTGATTAAACTTGAAACGGAGGGCTCAATAGAATTTATAATTTGCAAGAACATACGGGCATCTTGTTGTAACCAAAGGTCACGATTACCCATAGTGGGAGGGTCAGATTCTAGATGGGAAGCCATTCCCATACTTCGAACATACAAATGAATCGTTTTGATCCATTCGAAGTAATTGTTACCATTAAGCTTGTTTTCAGTAACTTTACTACTGGCGGAAATTATGTCAGGAACACGAGTACTACCAGAGGCTTTATCATTAGTGTTCGTCATATTAATCAAATCAGAAACGAACACCCAAGGGACAGATTATCAAAGGAAATCAGACTAAACAGATAGCAATTAACAGAGTTTGACCAAATAGATGAGATCAGATCTGTTACGACTAGATAACAGCAAAATTAGACCAAAAAGATGACGGAAAACAAACCAGATGGGGATTCCGACCAGAACCTTAAAAGTCGAAGGTCGTAGGTCGTCGGAGGCCGGAAAAGGGCTCACGCGCCGGCGCATGGAGGCGTGACGGCGGCGGACTAGGGTTCCGGCGACGGCGGGGGGTTCCGGCGTGAACAGTAACTCCGCGATGAACAGTAACTCCAGCATGAACAGTAACGGCGATAAACCCTAGGCTCTGATACCATGTAATCAGAGAGAACTCTATTATATGATTAATCAGTAAAAATTCAAATTTACAAGAGCAGAGACACTATATATAGACATAATTACACGGGAAACCCTAACCGTAAAGCCCATCGGGCTTGGACACATTATCATAAACAGGTTACTTAATTAACACTTATAAAGGAGGTATTTCTTGCTGGTACAATATTTGAAGCCTCTTATTCTATCGGTCCCTATTATGTGGGAGCCTTCATGTGTATATAAGATATTTCTCATTGGTGTACTTTTGAGATACTACAAAATAAGAACGACTTGCTGCCAGTATGGGGGATTTGATATAATTTGAATTACTACATTCACAAAGTACGTGATCTTATAGGAAAGCTTCTCTTAAACAACTCTGCACATTAGCTATGCCTTGAGTATGATCTCTACACAACATCAATGACATGAATCATCATAAGGATCCATCTACTGTGGTCATGGTTTTGAAACTGCTAATGAGGCGGCACCTCTGCTGGGTTATTTTGGGACGTATTCCTCGCACCACTAAGGCACGGCTGAGGCAGGGTAGAGGTGTTAATTAGGGTTAAAATTACTCACTTTTATCCCGCTTTCTTCTTACGTTCTTCCTCTGCTTGTACACTTTTCCTCCTCCCTCTGCTCGTTTGCGCTCCTCCAGTGAATGAAACCCACATTAACTACATTTGTAAGAAGGTGGGCATAATCAATATCTATGCTCTAGCTTGAGGGGAGTGTTAGGAAATTTACGAGAAAAGGAAACAATATCACTTTAGATTAGGAAATTATACATATTTGATTTTCTCAAACCATGTATCAATATATGCTCTTGTGCATGTAAACTATGGAGTGAAATACAATTGGTATTGATTATTACTGTTGAGATGTTTATATCGTACCCTTATGAATGGTATTAGGATAAGGGGAACATAAAAGGTTGATGGATTGGGAATCATGTTGAGTGCTGCTGGGAGATGCGTGAAAAGGAGTATTATTAGGCATACATCAAGAAGGTGATTCACACCAAACTACACATATTAAGGTCTTGAACGTCATGATACCGACGCTGTTGAGTATCAACTATAGATCACGATGGTGAGATATTGCCAGAGGGAAACATTATGATTAAAAGCCATGAGGAATAGTTCAGAGAGCACGAATTTGATTAAATAGCACTTATATGAATGGAGGTGAATTACCTCTTAAGAACAAGGACTATAGCATTTATAAACCTCTTGCACGTGGGAGCAACTAACGAGACATAGTTTGTGGATCTAAGGTCGAACTTGGCTGACCTTGGATCCTTGGATGAGGATCGTGGACATATGGATAATAATAGAATACTCTTTTGCTTTATCATGGGGATGTGTTATGACCAGAAAGTTAAGTTGCGATTTCACAACAGCAAAAATTGATATAAGATTGAGAGGATTCCACTTTTAAAGATTTTTATTATGAACCCAAGTTGGAAGACATAAAATACATACTTAAAACATCTGATATGATTTTCTCCCGATTCAGTTACTGGTATGTCTACATCTAACTTCCAACATTTGCACTCTATTCATTATCATCCCATGCAATTTCCGTTAGCTTGCCCCTACTCTGAATTATCTACAATTCGAGCAAGCAAACGGGAATTGCTAGTCAGCTATCATGTTCTTCAAAAGGAAATGGTAGTGATTGAGGCTCTGAAGGCTTAACAACTTTCTCCAATTAGGGAATAGCGCAGATGAAACAAGGATGCGACTTCATTTTTCAAAACGGAAGCTCCTTCAGTTTCTTCAGTTACAGATATATCAAGAATGAATCGACAATGTTGCAGCAGTGTACTTTAATTTTTCTTTTGTAACTGTAGTATAGACTTTAGAGTGAATGATCTGCTTGCTTCAACCAACAATGATAAAAGTCTTATTTACTAATTTTATTTTCTTTTCGATGCTATCACCGTGTTTTTATCTGGGCTACTACCTCAGTGCTCCAATAGGTCAAGGTTATGGTCTTACTGAGACCTGTGCTGGTGGGACATTTTCTGAGTATGATGATACATCTGTTGGTCGTGTTGGTGCACCCCTTCCTTGCTCCTATATCAAGGTAATATCTGATGGAGGTAGTTCGGCTTGTCCTTACAACAGCTTATATCATCATATTATATTGATCTTATTTTGTATGAACATGTATTTTGGTGAAACTTTCTAGGAGTGATAAAATATTGATACAAATGTCTGAGAATTTCATTTTAGATGCTGTCGGTATGCTGTGCTCTTATGTTGGCAAATATAAAGAGTTTGTGGGAAAGAGGGGCACATGCCATGCCATTAACTTTTGGTGGAACTATAGTATGTGGCAAAAAATTTCTATCTGTGCATCTTGTATGGTTTCTTATGTACATGCAGCAGGGAAAATCTAATGTGGAATCCCTTGCAACGAATAGTTCTTATGGAAGCTCTATCTGACAGTCCCCATAGTTCATCAAACAAACACTATATGTTGTGTGTGTGGGTGATGGAACTTGCACGAATACTATTTATTGTATGAGATTTTGGAAATCTAATACTTACATATTTGATATATAGTGCCACTGTGTTTAAGAATATCCCTGGCGTTATGGGTATACACACACAACAGGTAGCATATGTAATGTAAATTAGTTTAATAAAGCTATTATCCCCAAGTTTTTGAGAGGAAATGTTGATGATGCCTTGATATCATTCCTCCATCCTCTATCGATGACGGTTAAATTCGTTATGATATTACATGTCAGCCTTTCTAACTAATACTAAATTTGTGCTAACCTCTAGCTCTATTAATGTTTTACATTTAATATAGATTAAATGTACCCTTGTCAAACATGAATTCATAGGCAATCTGGTTTGGCGTTCTTGTGATCAAGCCTGTTTGATTTTTTGTTCCATTCAGATCTGAAAGCAAAAATCGTGTTTGAAGGGTCAATCAGAAAAACTTTAGCCATTTATTTAGCTACATATGGAATAGATTTTAAAGATTGTTCTTTTAGCATTTGACTTTGTATGTTGTAAACTTTTTAGTCGAATCTTGTTATCCACATCAGTGAGTTGTAAAATTGTTTGATATCTGTTATTCACTCAATTTGAATTTTCTTTTTTAATTTGACAGTAAATCTAGTCATTCAGAACTTGTACATCAACCTTTTTCATTAATTTTTCTTGTATTCGTAACTACAGTTGGTGCATCTTCTGATTCAACTTTAATTATTGTTTTACTTTTCTGCAGTTAATAGATTGGCCTGAGGGTGGTTACTTGACCAGTGATTCACCTATGCCTCGTGGAGAAATAGTGATTGGTGGGCCAAATGTTACTCTTGGATACTTCAAAAATGATGAGAGGACACAGGAAGTATACAAAGTAATATTCTCTCTTTCTATGTTGTATTTTTTGTCGAGGTGTACAAGATAATAATTATGCAGCACATGATGAAACTTTAAATCTTCTTTTGCAAAAAAAGGTTGATGAGAGAGGCTTGAGGTGGTTCAACACAGGTGATGTTGGGCGGTTCCATAAAGATGGCTGCCTTGAGATAATTGATCGTAAGAAGGATATTGTCAAGCTTCAACATGGAGAATATGTTTCTCCAGGGAAGGTACAAAGTCTTCTGTGGGTTTATTTCTATTGCTGATTTTGTATCATCGAAAACCAGGACCCACTTAGGGATCGATGCTTCTTCTACAGGTGGAGGCGGTTCTCAGTGTTAGCCCTTATGTTGATAACATCATGTTGCATGCCAATTCATTCCATAGTTACTGTGTGGCACTCGTGGTGGCTTCACAGTCTGCAGTGGAGAGTTGGGCTTCGCATAAAGGTATCAAGTTTGATGACTTCACAAGTTTGTGTCAAATGGAAGAAACGGTGAAGGAAGTTTATGGTTCCCTGATAAAGGTAACAATATATATAAATACAAGGTTGCAAGCAGTACCGTGTTGTTATCTTCATCTTTTTTCCAGATAATTTTCAGTTTGCCATTAATGGTCATTCCTTTTAACTTGAAAGTAGTAACTTTTGATTTTGATGGAGAATCAAAATTCAAAATCTCCAATAAAACTGCATTCAACTCCAACCGCTTCTCCATTTTGAAGATTACAATATTGATTATATTTTTAAAAAAAATATTCCATACATTTACTCTCCTAAACATCTAATTCAAGGTTTCTTATTGGTGGGAATACCAGAGATAATAAAAAAAATACTTCTCTCTCATGGTAACCATTTTTGGGGGGTTTCTCTAAATTTGGAGGATTTCACACTCCTACTTTCTTCATTTTGGAGAATATGTTATTGCATAAAGTTTGCCTAAAATCTCCAATTTCTCCATTATGGAGAATCTGTTGGAGATGCTATTAAGGGTTAAACATTTTTATTGAACTATGTCATGTCAAACATTGCATCTTTCTTTTGGGACTCAAGGAGTCGGAAGAAGTTGTGGGTTACCAATGTGTTGGGCCACTTTTAAATTAATGGTGATGTTGTGTTTGGTCTATTGAATCATCCGTTTTGATATGATTCGCTTATTATTCATTGCATATGGTTTTCTTTGATCTCTCTCTTATATTGGTCTGTGCCTTGAGAAATATTTCATTCTTCCTTTCCCTTTGAGACTTGTAGGCAAAACTAGATTTTACTATTGAACATTTTCATATAATGGATCCAGTTTATATCGTATGGGATGGGAAGACATGAGGATATAATAGTGACGTGATGTAGGAAGAGTTAAAAGGTTGGAGTCATGTAAGAAAAGGGTACATTTAGCCGTGTTGACATTGAGCCAGTAGTCATGTAAGAAAACGGTACAAGCGAATGAAAACGTTAGCCGTGTTGACATTGAGCGAGTAACTACTCAAAAGGATTCCTAAATTTTGGCGGAGCAAGAGTACTGTCATTAAATTAACGAACCATCCAAGACCTGTTTTTGGTTTGAATTATAACATGTCATCTGGATTGTACAGGCTGCTAAAACAGCACGATTGGAGAAGTTTGAGATCCCTGCAAAGATCAAATTGGTTTCAGAAGCGTGGACTCCTGAATCTGGACTGGTTACTGCAGCACTAAAGCTCAAGAGGGAGGTTATCAGAAAGACATTCTCGGAGGACCTTGCAAATTTCTACTCACCATGATACTTATACTCTCATCTCAAATAGTTTGTTTATGTAGCATCCTTCTGATTGTACCATTTTGGTGGTCAGTTTTGTTAATTCCATCTCCATTATCAAGTGAAGTGGATAGAAGAAACAGGTAATTCTATTTCTGATTTTGGCTAAATAATATGCATTTATGTGCAAGTAAAACTATGATTCGAAAGGTACGACCCAAATCGCTACCTTTTCGATCTTGTTATGTGATTAACTTTCATGAGGATTCTCGATTTTACCACGGGATAAAAAATCACTATTGCTTGTCTAAAATATTTTAATGTGTCTTGATTTTCGACCTAAATTATGTGAAGACCAAACAAAAAGTTTTTAAGAAACTTAGAGCACTAATTTAATCCATACCCTATTTTAAATATAGGTATTTTTGTCAAATTAGAAGTAAATTGAAAGGGTATTTTGGACATCTTGATACCCCTTTTCGTCAAATCTCCGACTGTAATCTCGATCATCTTCAACCTCTACGCTTGACCCCTTTTCCCCTTCTCGTCAAATCTTCGACTGTAAGCGATGCCCCTACCATCCCCTCCTACTACTCCTCGGTGTTGCACACCATGGCTCCATATCTGCCTATACCATCACAGACCTTCATCTTCGCTTGTAACTTGACAAAACCTAAGGTCAAGACAAACACCGATGGCTACCACCGATAACTACCCCTCACTCTCACTCAACTCTGGAGAACACTGATGTTGGTTCTCCCATCCCGAACGCTGTTGAACACTGACCACAACCCTAGTACTTGATAGAAACCCTATGTTTATCGCTCCTTCGAACACGGTCATTAGTCACCAAAGTCAGTAAAACCAGATTCACGGCTTGATGATCAAATGAGGGATTAGGTTTTCATCTATGTATCAAAAGAATATGATTTATGTTTCTGCTTCTTCTACATCCATTTCTGTTAAATCAAATAATTAGTTGTACATGATATGGAACCCAGATTTCTCACTTGTTTTCAAATGAATGTTTCAATAAACCTCATCTTCGTTATCTTCTATCAGTAAAACTAATCCAACAACAAGTTTGATCTCATCTTCAGACTCTTTTATTTCTCATTGAATTGTGTTTGATTTCATTAAGTGAAAAAACATATAGATGGAAATTGTGTTTTATTTCATGTGGTGAAATAATATATATATATATATATATGTGTGTGTGTGTGTGTGTATATATATATATATATATATATAGGGTTGGGTTCACGTGAGACCAACGTGTTTTTGTGAGACCCGTGAGACCACTTTTTTACACTTCAAATTTTACAGAACCCAATAATTGGTTTAACTCTTGTGAACCAATTTTAGCCCTTAATCCTTGAAATCTATGGATTAAATTAATCATGACATATTTGTAATAAATAAAAACCTGAACAAAAACAAATATTGGTGAACACTCTTGAACAAGGGTATTGTGGAAAATATCATGATATATTGAACACCTATGAACGCCACACGGTTATGAACACATTCTTATGAACACCTATGAACATCATTTATTAATGCAATTTAGATTAATATGGAGAACAAGTTGAGTGTGTTGATCCCGGATCTCTCAATAACACTAATAATCTAGTTAAGAATAACCAAATTATAGTGTTTTAATGGAGAAAGTGATGAACACTCAAGAATGAATTATAAACAATAAAGAACAGTCTTGAGCGTCAAAAGTTTCACTTTATTGATAAGAAAAACGTAAAAGAGACATTTAGTACAATAGGCCTAATCACCTATTTATACTAGTAAGCTAATTAGAAGATAACTATTTAATGAGACTTTTTAGCTAATCATCTATTAACAGATAATGTTTATCTAAACTATTGATAAGCTTTAATATTAAGATAAACTTGAAATGTAGCTGTCGATTTGTCATCTCCAGCTGTCTTCCATGGTATGATGAATCATCCTTATCCTTAAAATCTTCATCGTATGCCTCTGGATGAAGATGCTCTTTCCATCACATCCCTGGTTGTCCATCGGCCCTCTGGTTGTTCACCAGACTTAGCCAATTCTGCCTTGATGTCTTCATCGGGTCTTCTGGTTCTTCATCACTWATTGTTTTTCATTACTTTTTTCACTTTATGAATTATGGGGTTTAACAGAGTGTATTTTGATAACATTTCACATATGAATATGCAATATGTTCATTTTAACAGAGTGTATATCTCATGGATGAGTTGACTCCTTTCTTCACTTGGCACGTGATTTCTACCAAGTCCTTCTCTGATGACTTTCTGAAACCATTCAAGTGTATCCGATGAATACTTGAATACCTCAGTTAGTCTGAAGAATTTCTTTGCCCCGAACTCATTCTTGTAAACAAGTCCAAGCTGGGGTTGAGTTAAGACTGAGGCAGATCTCTTCTCTTACAGGCTTGGGAAGTCTTCATTTGGTGGAGCGCAGGAGAGTCTTTCGATGCCTAAGTGAAGAGCAATTTCAAAATCACTCTTGGCTTGATGGTTTACCAGGGTCTCCATTGTCTTCACCACCGCTCTGTTCGCCATCTCAAATCTGATGCCGTGATCCTATCGCTGAGCCATGTATGTATAAAGCTCGATCAAGTCATAGGGATTGACGTTGATGAGGTCATTTTCGTTGAACACGCTGATTTGACCATGTGCTCTTTCCACAGTGAACTCGATGTATCGTATGGCTCTATTGGCAAAGGTCCTCACTTTTAGATCCATGACCCTCCTTATCCCATCGTTTGAGAAGATAGCCTGGGGTGCTTGGGTGGTCTGTCTAATAAACCTATGGTGTAGGAGGTCCATGGACTCAGGTGATAATATCGGAGGATTGATGGTCAAACTGCCATCGCGGTCGTGATACATATATTGATGAATGTTTTCCATCATAATGGGTTCCCTGGGTGGCAACTCTGGACTTCTCCGCAGTGACTCCATGTTCTGAATAATCTCGTCGACCAGGCTCTGTGGAGGTTGCCTTGAGGAAGAGGGAATATCCGTTTGCACCATGGGTGGTTGGGTTGAGGGTTGTGTTTGGCTTAGTGAAGGTATGTTTTCTTGTTGGGTTGATTCGAATTGGGTTGGTTTTGGTTCATTGGGTTCGGTTTAGGTGGTTTCTGGCTCATGGGGTTCTGTTTGGGTTTGAGGTTGTTGGGGTGCTTATTAATGGTTTTGGTTGTATGGATAAGGTGGTGAAGGGTTCTATGGTGTGAGGAGTTGGTGAAGGAGTTAAGGGTAGGTTTGGTGTAGGTGATGGAGTAAAAGGTGGAGAGGTTGGGTTTTCATCGGTTGAGGAACTCAACACGATGGGTTATTGGGTTGTAACGAAGGGAACATGTACATTTTGTACATCTTCAGAGGGCAGAGCCTCTGGTTCCCTTGCTTGGGTTCCTTCGGTTGAGGGTGGTGGTTGTGTTTGTGATGGTGGTGGTGCAGCGGATTCCGTTTGCTGTGCAGCCGCGGCCTTTGTCTCCCCCTCATGAGGTCCAAGACCTTGATCATCGAGGTCTTGGTCTTCATGTCGTGGCCTCTTGTGTTGGCGGCTGCTGGAGCAAGAGGCACTACTCCTCTTCTTCTTTTTGTCCTTCCTGAAGGACGCAAGATACGCCTTCAGGGCTGCTTGTCTTCGGCTCTCCTCCATCGTTTGAAGGAGAGAAGTGGTGCGCCTTTGTTCATCGGCCAGGTTCTGGGAGAGAACCCTGGTCGGATGGATGGCACGATGAACGAATTTGGTACTTATCTCATTGAAAGATGAAACGAGTGCCTTGAACAGAGCCCGTAGGTCGGCTCTGGTTGCGAACTCTGTGGTTGATGAGTAGGCTTGTGGTGGCACGGAAGTGGTGGCGGATGTAGATGGAGGGATGGGAAGGTTGGTGATGAGAAAGGCATAGTCAAGGTTGAGGTTGAAGAACAAGCCGTACATGATTGTCATGATGTTGATATTCCCTTGGTCCAATGACCCTAACTTGCATGTGAGGGCCCTGTTGAGGATGGAGAAAAACATGTTCCATATCGGCGGGAGGAATTGACGTTTGAAGTCTTAAACGTTGCGTAGGTCTCGATTGTAACCTAGCATTTTAACGAAGCGGAGGATGTCGTCGGTGGTTGGTGGTTCGTCATATTCTGTAATTCCAAGTTCCCGTCGAGTAGGAATGCATAGAACCCGAGAAACTTTTGCCCGCGATATTTTGAGCGAGCATATCATATCGTTTGGGGCATCCATGTCCCCCATGATTCCATGGCTGTCGAGGTGAAACTCATATGTTTGCCAGTATTGCTGTACGTACTTTAATGGTACGCCGGTGTCAACAAGAGTTAGTGCGGGAAGGAGAATACAGTTCTTGAAGAACTCTATCATGACAACAAATCGGTCGTCGAACAGTGTGTTTCGTAGTTCAATAGCGTGGTTGTTTGGCTTCATGGGAAGGAATACGATAGTGCGTCTGTCGGTACCAGTGGATTGGACTCTATTGTCATTGTTGTTCAATTTGTGGGAGGCGGAGGAGGCCATTGTTGAGGAAGTTGCAGGTTTTTGTTCGTCAAAATCTAGTTGCAGGTTTTGGTAAGCGTAAAGAGGTAATGAGGGTAGAAGAAAGGTATTTATAGGTGGAGAGATGGTGGGGTGGAGGTGGGAGGGTGGGGTGTG